CATGAGGCCTTTCTAAGAACTTGGGTACAGGTACTCTCCCTCACCCTGCAGAGGTAACCAGCACTCCAGAGAATGAGTGCTCACCCTCAACCCTGACCTGCAGTGCTCACATTTGCCATCTAAATTGTGTTCATAATTTTAAATCCTACACTAGGTATGGCTTATGCCTGTAATCCCAGCACTTTGGAAGGCCAGGGCAGGAGGATTGCTTGAGGCCGGGTGTGTGAGGCCAGCCTGGGCGACCATCTCTAGCGAGACCCCATCTCTACAAAACATTTAAAAAAATTAGCCAGGCATGGTGGCACATGCCTGTAGTTCAGCTCCTCAGGAGGCTGAGGTGGCAGGATCACTTGAGACCAGGAGTTGAGCCTGAGGCTGCAGTGAGCTATGATTGTGCCACTGCCCTCCAGCCTAGGTGGCAAAGTGACACTCTGTCTGTATTTTTTTAAAAAAATTAAATCCCGGCCAGGCATGGTGGCTCACACCTGAAATCCCAGCACCTTGGGAGACTGAGGCAGATGGATCACAAAGTCAAAAGATCAAGATCATCCTGGCCAACATGATGAAACTCCATCTCTACTAAAAATCCAAAAATTTAGCTGGATGTGGTGGCACGTGCCTGTAGTCCCAGCTTCTCAGGAGGCTGAGGCAGGAGGATAACTTGAACCCAAGAGGTGGAGGTTGCAATGAGCCAAGATCGTGCCACTGCACTCCAGCCTGGGCGACAGAGTGAGACTCTGTCTCAACAACAAAAAATTAAAATCCAGTTTATATCCTCCCTTCTCCAGGAAGTTCTCCACAAACATCCCAGCCATACACATGTGCATATGTTCCTGAACGTCACTGTAGTGGACACTGTGTATTGCCACCCAGATCCCTCTGCAGGACCACAGCCCTCATCCCCAACCACTGGGAGTGTTGGCAATTGACAGTTATTGGCAACTGACAGTTCTCGGCAATTGCCCACTGCTGAGGAGAGATGCCTTTTTCAAAGCCACACTGTTTTCCTGGGACAACCACAAGTTATGACACCTATGAGAGGGGATTAAAGGCCCTACCCTGTTGCCCTCATTTAGGCAACTTGCAGGGCGCCCTGTGGGGTTGCCTGAGGCCTTTGTTGTGACTTCTCTTTCTGGCCTGTCCTGCATCTTCACTTCTTTGCACATCTTGATCCTGAGAGCATCCCCTAGTATATTTCCCGCAGGCTGATTTCCTCTTCAAAGTCTGCTTCAAGAGACCTGTAACAAAATCCCACAGGCTGGGTGGATTAAACAACAGAAATTGATTTTCTTATAGTTCTGGAGGCTGGGAAGTCCCAGATCAAGGTGCCAGCAGGGCTGATTTTGCTTAAGGCCCCTCTCCGTAGCTAGCAGATGGCCGCCTTCTCACTGCATCCCCACGTGGTCTCTCCTTTGCACACGCATCCCTGATGTCTCCTTTTATGTCCAAAGCTTCTCTTACAAGGACTCCAGTCAGATTGGGTTAGGGCCCACCCTAAGGGTCTCATTGTAACATAATCACCTCTTTAAAGGCCCTATATCCTAATACAGTTGCATTCTGAGGTACTGGGGGTTAGGTCGTCAACATATACATTTTGTGAGTTGGGGGAAGAGCATAGTGCAGACTGTAACAGTACCCAACATGCAACACCCATGGCACGCTCGAGGTGCCTACTTTTTCATCACTTGTTAATCTGGTAGCCTATGTTAGCAGGTATCTTTCAAGTGCAAAGGAGTTTTCTTACCAGTTGCACTAACAGAGCCTTTGATTCAGTTCAGCAAACGCCTGTTGAGTACGTACTGCCTGTAAACCAGTCAGGAGTTGGAAAAGAATAAGATAGTATGGTTTTTATTTGTTCATTCCAAGAATGAGAGGAGGAATGAGCCAGACAGATTGTAACTCTTGCAGTGTCTACACCTCAGTGAAAAAAAGAGACCCTTAAGTGGGTGTCTCCAGCAGCACTGGGGTGTGTTACAGCTGCAGGACCTTGAGGAGGAAGAGCAATGGCTCAGGCAGGAGGACATGGGCAGATTCTAGGGCAGGAGGATTCTAGGCAAGCCTTGCTTTGACGGATGTATAGGGACCGGGAAAGCAGGGAGAAGGGAAGTGAAGGGAAGAGTTTTCCAAATCCCTTTCTCATTTGTAAAGTGGGGGTAATAATTAGACAAGATCAGGCATGTTTCAGGTGGTATGGCCATAGACAAGGTTAATGATTTAAAGCCACTGAGGGCTGGGCACGGTGGCTCACGCCTGTAATCCCAGCACTTTGGGAGGCTGAGGTAGGTGGATCACGAGGTCAAGAGATGGAGACCATTCTGGCCAACATGGTGAAACCCTGTCTCTACTAAAAATACAAAAATTAGCTGGGCGTGGTGGTAGGTGCCTGTAATCCCAGCTACTCCGGAGGCTGAGGCAGGAGAATTGCTTGAACCTGGGAGGTAGTGTTTGCAGTGAGCCAAGATTGCACCACTGCACTCCAGCCCTGGTGACAGAGCACAACTTCATCTCAAAAAAAAAAAAAAAAAAAAAAAAAAAAAAAAAAAAAGCCTCCGAGGGTTGTTTTGAGGGTAAATGAGACAGTATATCCAAAAAACTTAGCAAACTATCAAACCCTTTACAAGTATATGATGTTATCATTAGCAGCAGGGAGTTGGGGGGAGGAGCAGAGGGCGATGATCAAGATGGGGGCAGTGAGTGTGCCTCACACGCCTCAGGCCCCTGACACTGCTTTGCACAGTGCTTTCTGCCCAGCAGGTCCAATAGATGCTGATTGAGTAAATGAATGTCAGAAGCAGCCCCGGGCGCCTGATCAATGCCTACATGCAGGCCTCCCGCTGTGGGCTCCAAATGGGAAGAGAACCCATTTGGCTTTGCAGAATACAGCATCAATACGACATACGCTTCATTACCTTAGAACTGGAAGATTTGCTGTATGGTGGCATTCCATGTCACCCCACATGGAATTAGGCACTCTACTTTCCCCCGAGGCTCCAGAGAGATGGTGGTGGGTAGGACAGGATCCATACTCTTCTGCTAAAGCTGGAAGAGTGGGTGTGTCAGACAGGGATGAAAGTGTAGAGGTTGGGCAGACCCTTTTCCACCATCCCCTCTGACCCACTGCAGGAGGTGTGCCCTGTTCATTGATTGGACATGGCACCACATTAATCCCAAATGGCATCAATTGGTGGTTTTTAATTTGGGGTAGAAAAGTACCTGGAAGTCATGGTCTTTTGTAAAGAATGCCTTGGAATGCTGATAAGTTTAATTCTATTGTGTAAAATCGAAAGACATTTGTCAGCTGAAAAGCCAACTATATTATCTGTGCATTATGTTTTAGTCAAGTTCATCAACTCCTGATATCTCCCAAGTCTGCTCCTGAGCCCCTCTGGTCCCTTTCCTCTGTGAATATGCCACGCCAGCCTCCCAGCGCCCCAGGCAGAAATCCTAGCGTCACCCTCGACTCCTTATCTCCCCTGCGTGTCCCATACCCACTTTTGCCCCACAGCTATCCAAGGACCAAAGATCATGAAATAGACTTCCAGTCTAGCTCCTGATTCTGAACAGGTCTTTCCATCCTCATTCCCACTTATCTTCATTCAGATGACCACACTCTCTTACCTGAATTACAGCCACAACTCATTCCCTTCTGAGCTCTCTTCTATACCATACATCTTTCTAGAACACCAGTCCAATAGGGTCATGCCTCTGGGCCCAACCTCTCAGAAACTGTCCAGCTGACAAGACCCAATCTGGCCTATATATGTCCCTGCAATTTAGTTTTCCTCAATGTTACTGTCATTCCCCACATTTTTGGCCAAACAGAATTGTTTGATGATCTGGGACGTGTCATATTGTATGTGTGGAACACCCCCCACAACCCTCTCATTTACCAGGCTAAGTCCTCCTTCTACCTCATCCCAGATGATACCTACTTCAGGAAATCTTTTCCTTTCCATGGGATGAGACACCCATTCCACAGGGCTCTCACTGCATGCATCCTGCCAAACCTCATCATCTCTTACCTGGACTCCTGCTACAGACTCTCAGCTGGTGTCCCACTTCCACTCTGGGCTCTCCTCTCCATTCTCCACAATGCTGTCAGAATCATCTATGCGAAAGGCAAATCTGATCTTGTGGTTCCTGCTGCCCCTAGGATCAAGTATAAACTCCTAGCCTGACTTTTAAGGCCCTCAATGATCTTGCCTATTGCAACCTCCCCAGACTCAACCCTTGCCAAGTCCCTCTGTGTCAGGTATCCTGACTCTCTTTCAGGTCCTCCACCTGCTCTCTACCTCTGTGCTTTGCATACGCAATGCACAATTTCTAGTTTCCAATGTCTAGACCTTCCACAGACTCCCGATTCTTTAACTGGCTAATTCCTACACATCCTTTAGGTGTCTGTCTGTTCAACATCACTTCCTTTAGAAAGCCTTCCCTGAATACCTGAACTAGGTTATGTATTTCTCTCCCTGTTCCATTTCCGAATCCCTGTCACCCGTAGATGTAGTTGCTTGATTAACTGGCTGTTGTTTCTTCTAGAATGTGAGCTGCAGAACCATGTATATTTTGTTCCTGTCTGTACTTCTAGAACTGTATAGAACAATGCTTAATAAATATTTATGGAATCAAGATTGAATGAATGCCCATTTCTGTTTCAATGACTGGAAGGTGGAAAGCCTAGTTAACTGAAGTGTGTGGTGCATGTGTCGTGCTTAGGAAGTGTTTGTTGAATGAACAAATGAATGATGGATCATCTCTGTTCAACCTCATCTTATTATACTTTTAAGAAAATTGTATTTGCTCATTTGTCCTACCAGCTGTAAAAACTTGCTAACCAAGAGTGGCAGAAAGCCCAACATTTTAAGAAAATTCTTAGCTGTAAACTTTAAAATACTGAGTTGGAGAATTCTTATTATTAAGTGCCAGGAGTTGGTCTTCTCCCTGGAGACATCTGCAAGAGGCCCTCCCACTGATACCCTGTGTCCATTTTTCCTGGCCAGAGCCTGGCCACCCAGTGGCTCCGCTGCCCCGATGGATCCACTGAATCTGTCCTGGTACGATGACGATCTGGAGAGGCAGAACTGGAGCCGACCCTTCAATGGGTCGGATGGGAAGGCGGACAGACCCCACTACAATTACTACGCCACTCTGCTCACCCTGCTCATCATCGTCATCGTCTTTGGCAACGTGCTGGTGTGCATGGCCGTGTCCCGCGAGAAGGCGCTGCAGACCACCACCAACTACCTGATCGTCAGCCTCGCGGTGGCCGACCTCCTCGTGGCCACACTGGTCATGCCCTGGGTTGTCTACCTGGAGGTAGGTGGGCCCTCTGCTTGCTCCAGCACTTTCTCCAGCACTGGAGTTGGACGCTAGCCCCACATTGGCTTTTACCAATAAGTTGCCTGGTGCTTCCCCAGGTGGTTTCTTCCTTCACTCTGGGCTTACCTTTTCTCCTTATGAAATGGGTAGACCGTCTCGTTAATAATCACAACTACCATTTGTAAAGTGCTTACTAAGTGCTGGGCCTCATGCTAAGAACTTTAAATATAGCATTTCCCTACATACTGCTCACAGCAGGTCATTATTGCCATCATTTTGCAGATGATAAACCAGGTGGTCAGAGAAGGTAAGTGACTGCTGCAGCATCACAGGCTGGCAAGTCCAAGCTGGAACCTTGGCCTCAGAGTTAGTTCCTTAGATCGTATTGGAAATAGGAGTAACTGATGAGGATCCCCAAGGAGGGCATGTGTATGCTCCCAGACCCCGGAAACCTTCGTTTCCATCTCCCTACTTCAGAAATGGGGCTGCTGCTCCATGTTCTCCATATCCCCTCTCCTGCCTGCAGCTTATCCTGGGGCCCTGTCCAGGACCTCCAGGTAGAGGCTGCCGAGGACTGTGCTGTAGCCCTTTTGTTAGGAAGAACTGTGTAGTCACTCCTTGTTCGGCCCAGCTCTGTACCTCAAAATGGGGAGTAGGCAGCATAGTCTAACCACTGTGCCTCGTGCAGACCCAGTGAATACTCTTGGTAACCCTTGGAGTTCATGCTAGCCTTCTCACTTTACAAAACAGGAAACAGGCCAGGTGTGGTGGCTCACTCTTGTAATCCTAGCACTTTGAGAAGCTGAGGAGGGCTGATCACAAGGTCAGGAGTTCAAGACCAGCCTGGCCAACATAGTGAAACCTCGTCTTTACTAAAAATACAAATTTAGCTGGGTGTAGTGGTACAAGCCTGTAATTCCAGCTACTCAGGAGGCTGAGTCAGGAGAATTGCTTGAATCCAGGAGGCAGAGGTTG